CGAAGATTCGAGAGATGAAAACCTATTGTTACTCAAAGATGCGTTGGACGTTGTCCTGCGAATACTAGTTCCTACTTGATTTGATGGAGGTGTTGTTCCTTTTGTTGAGGCGAAACCAAACTTGTTGGTAGTGACAGTGGGACTCATATTGGAAGATGCAATCTTAGTGACAATATTATCTGCTTTGGATGGAACTTCACAAGTAAGAAGAGGGATTGGGACGATAGTGATTGGAAGAGCAACCAGAGTAACCTGAACAACAGTTTCTTCTCTAAACCAGTTTCCCCTACAGTTACAACTTGCGATACAAACGACGAAGCCAAAGTTGTAGAGCCCTTGGAAATTTCAGTAACCTTAGGAGTAGATTGAGTGTCTGATTTAGTTGCACTTATTAGTAGACAACGTGAAGCTTTATGGCCTAATTGTCCACATCTGCTACAAGTAGAAGGCAACCACGAGTAAAGAACCTCGACCATGGTGATTGTGTCACTTATATCCGTTAGAGCGACTCATTAAGGAAATGGCTTATTTAGATTTACCTCAACTAGGATTTTTGCTGTTCCTATTTGAGTTGGATCCAACCAAGGCTTCTCAGCCAACATTGGTTCTCCAATACCCGAAGCAATCCACTTGATGCCCTTGATTGAATATAATGGTCTGGAATGTTGTTGAGAGTAAGCCAAACCGGGACTGTAGTGATTTCCGAGACATACATGATATCTTTAGGGGACCAAGGTGAGACGAACATCAAGCAGTCATCTAAGTGCCACAACCCCTTACGGGTTGTTTCATCAGGGATATGGAAAAGATATGTTGACTCTCCTAAATTTCGAACGAAGATTCTTCATTTTCTTCCCCAAATCCTAGTTAGCACTGTCTAAATTAATCCTCTAGATGGAGCCGAACAAGGATAGAATTAACCAACCACATATTCCTTTTGATTTTCCAAACCACTAAGAAGAACATGGCTCGGGATTCTTACCTTTGGGGTTCCATCCTCCATGTATGAAGATTCCTCATAGATTGATTCATCCTTGCTGCCCATGGATAGTTTTTGGATTGAGCTTTAATTAAACCCGCTTCAGCTTTTGCTGTCTCTGGATTGTATGATTGATCCTGAAACGAAGCAGAGTCGTTGTTGATGACGTTCTGTTTTCCACGCGAGAGAGCTGGCCATCTGATGTCGTTGGATTGACGAGGATCTGATGATTGCCGCGTAGGAAGAGAGTGAACCGTAAGAGGCTTTTCCCATGCTCCTTTAGAGATTGTGGAGGATGGTGATTGTAGCTTTGAAACTACTAGACCAGAAGAGACAGCTTCCTTGGGAGTGGTAGTGGATACATTTTCGATGCCCTGCGTCACTATGTCGGTGAGTCTCGCCAAGTGGAGTAACTATGACCGGTGACACCCTATCAGCTGGATCGGAGATGATTTTCTCGAGTGGTGGCACAACGGAAGGAGGTTGCAATCCGAGTAAAATATATTGACTAGATACGGTAATGGTACGTTCTAAAAGCATTTAACAGTTTAGCCAGCAGAAATAAGTAAATCAAAAATTATTCTTCTATTTTCTTTCACAATGGCTAACAATATATATTTTCATTTATTTTTCTCAAAAAACCATCATCTTTTTTGCTCTTGTATCCTTTATTTGTTTTGTCATATATAACTCATGCGATAACACACTAAATCCTACAATTTTGTATCTCGCTAAATGCTTTTTCGATATGCTTTCACAGCAAGAAAAATACCTTGTTAAGTTGTTATATATTCCAGATATGTAACTATGTGTTAGGTTAATTTAAAAAAAAAAAAAAACTATGTGTTGGGCTAATTTGTTTAACAACCAAAAAAAAATTATAATTAGAAAACTAACAAAAAGTAGCATATGTGGCATATTTCTATCCATTAGATGTAGGTTAATTAGTTAAATTTGGAAT